CTGACTCCAGCATGCTCTGATTCTGGATGCCTCCCAGCTGCAATGCTCACTTGGTATGATTGACCAAGGTCTGGGCCTGACTTACTTGACCCATCCATCCTCTGAAAGGGGGTACCTTCCACCTAGCTCACAGATTCTCCTGAGGACTCAGTGTCATTCCTGCCATCATTGTCTCACCCTCATCCCTCCAGGTAGGACAGGGCAGGGAGCTCTGCACAGATCTTTCCTGTCCTGAAATCATGACCACTTTGTGAGGCCTGCAGCACAGACGGTCACCCCTGCATGTCAATCAGGAGGGGACTGACTGGCAGCGAGTGCTATAGGGGCCCAGTAGGAAGTCTCAGAGAGCACACCCCTCTGTCTCTGATCCAGCCAGTGGGACCTGAGGCCAAGCAGCTCTTTTGTTTCATCTGCACAAGGACCAAGGAGATCCCTCTTCCTGGTAATTGGGACCGAGAGGGTGAGCATTTCCAGGGAACCTTTAAGTGACAAACTACCAAAGCCACAGCCTGTGAAGTCTCCCCATCCCTCTTGGCCTCCTCTCTGCAGACGTCCAGGCTCACTCTACCTTGATGAACTGTTCCCTGCTTTGGGAGTTGTCCTCTTTGAACAGCTTTTTAGCGGTAACTGTGTGCCTCCTGAAGAGATTGAAAGAGGAAAGGCATGATTAGGAAAAATTGGCCAGAGGGGTTAACAGCGAATTCCTTTAAACAATCTCATGTTTCCTACTGCCTTGCTGAGGGTATCACTGGGTTCTTCTGAGCAGGAGGGTCTCCGTGGGACTGGGGTAGGACTCTCATGATAGTCTCTGGGCGTCCTTCCCATATCGAAGGAGAAGTTCTGTTTTGATCAGTTTGGGTTTCAACTGGGCATAGGGTTCTGATTCTGGAAACACGGAAATCTCCCATTTGGATCAATGCAGTGTCTGGCATTGAAGGAGACTGACTCCTGAAGAAGAGTTAGTGGCCTGAGGAGCCACAGAGCCTTAGAGACCCGGCCCACAAGACCAGTCTTTGTCCCCAGGGTTGGCTGCCTCCCAGGAGGTGAGGGGACACTGGGAGACATATGGGAGACACATTAGCAGGCTTGCTGTGATGGGAGAGGCCTACGCACCTGGAAACTTTCCCCCATGTCTCCTGCAGTCGATGAATGGACACGCTCTGCAGAGCGGCCAGGATGGCGCGCAAGGAGGAAAAGTTCCTCAGGGTCCTGCACTCCTGGGGAAGAGGAGACATGTGCTGTGAGACATGTGCTGTCGCATCAGGCACCTTAGATTGGCTGCTCCTCTTGATAGGATAGATGCTCAGGGTGGGCACATTTAGCACCCAAATACCAACTCTCAGAATGAGGAGGATCCCAAATCAAATCAAGGAAGGAACCAAGAACGATGTGAACCTCCCAGCACAGGATCAGGAGAGTCAAGATCTGAGTGAACCTGGCAGAGAGGACCTGGGGCTGTGCTGGGGCTCTGATCTCAGTCCTCAGTTCTGACAGCTGTCTGGGCAGCAGAGGCATTTTTCAAGGATCCCCACAGGGATGCTGGTGGGCCTCCCCTAACATACCTTGGCCACCTTTATCCAGTGCTCCACCACTTTGGCCCTGTCCTGGGCCGTCATGCTTGGGTCCCCAAGGCAGGTGGTGATCACACAAGTAGCCACCTGGTTGAATTGTAAGACAGTGGCACTGACAGTGGATACCATGTGCCCCTTTCTAGGCTTAGTCCTCTGTGACCAGACAGAGTCCAGGCACTGGTGTGGCAGCACCTTCTTGAACAGCTCCTGGGAAGAAAGGGGAATGTCACCCAGCCCTGCCACCACCCAGTTCAGGATTCCCAGTCCCTGAAAGAGACACTATGTTCAGGAAGCTGAGGATTTGCCTGAGCTTTGGAGTCCATGGGTGCACCCAGTACTCGATGACCCGGGGCCCAAGACGGGTGGGGGCCCAAGACGGGTGGTCAGGAGTATCTCCCTCCAGCCCATACTCAGGGACTCCAAGCTCCAGAAAGCGGCTTACTTCTGCTCACCCCAAAAGGGCATCTTCCAGCATCTGACATCCCTCTGGAATAATTCCCCATTCAGTGCACATTCCCTTGTGACAGCTACAACCACAGCTGTTTGTCTCACTTAGTGTTAAACACACATCAATGGCCTGATAAGTGCTGAGGCCACTGAACCTATGTGCTCTTGGATGGTTGAGCCATGGATTTGGCTGCACACAGAGAGCTCCACTCCCCACAATCCGGGCCACACCCCACCCAGCTTTCTGTCTCCTCTCCCTCATTTAATCTGCACAGCCACTCTGTGCAGCAGGGCCTGGGGTGCCCACCTCCACAGCCCACCGAGTTGGCTGGACAGCAATGCTTGGGGGTTGAGAAAGTTATCAAGGACGCATTGGTGAGAAAGGGGTTGAGCTGCGATTTGCATAAAGATCATAGGAGTTGAGATCAGGGAAAGGAAGGTTGGGGCAGCCAAGGGCAGAGGAAAGTCCTGTCCCTCCCACCTTGAAAGACCAAGACTCACTGCATCCATCGCTGTTATTTGCTCGGCCACCAGTCTTGGAGGAAATGTCAGGAGGCCAAGCTTCTCCTCCCTTCTATGGTGCTTAAGGGTCACAGCCACGGGGCAGTCGGTTGTTGGGGATGGAGCTGGCTCTCGGATCACAGCTGGTGGTCCAGAAGGCTCCAGCACTATCACACCCGGATTGGGCTCTAGCCCAGAAGCAGGCCCTTCCTCTGGCTCTTGAGTGTGCTTGAGCTCTTTAAGTGGTTGTAGAGCAGGTTAAAGAGACAGGTACTTGCACATGCCTCACTTTCCCATGCATTTCCACACACAGGAAAGATGTGACTGTCTTTAATGGAAGACTATCCCATGAAACACCCCACACCCCACCCCACTCACCCAATCCTCTTCCCAGACTACAGTCCCCTCACCTTCCCACTGAGCCTCTGTAGGCTCCTGTTGCTGCAACTCCACCCAAAGACTTCTTACGAGGCCCACCGGGTGTTTGACAGGGAGACTGTGCAGCACCAAGGCCTGCTTCACGATGAACCCAGGGAAAAGGAGGGGCTGGCCAAAATGTTGTATCAGGTCTGCCCAGGTTCCCATCACAGAAGCGGTGGCCCTGAAGAGAGACAGGTGGGGAATAAAGTCAGAGTCCTGATCATTCCTTCCACTCTGCCCTCCCATAACACCCTTATTTAGGACTGAGCTGCTGTGCAGGCCCCTCCCCATCCAGAGGAGAGTCCTATGCCAACACTGGCCACCTGTGTGGCTGTCATGGTTGGAGCATTCGTGGAAATAGCAGGTTTAACATGGAGTCTGTGTGAGACTCTTCTTCCCACTGGCAGCTCTTCTGAAGGTTTTTTACACTGCCCACTCCAACCCTCCATACCCCTGGGCATCTGGGCTGAGGACTGAGACAGACTTGTGAGCAGCCTGCTCACCACCATCATTTTCTGAGCCCACCTGTGGGGGTCAGGGGAGATAGATGTGGAGAGGGGCAGGCAGAGCAGGATGGGTCTGAGGTGGGGATTGAACTGTGAGGGTAAACTCAGCCCAGCATTTCCTCTGGGTCAAGAAGGCCAGGGACCCCATCCATTGTCCTGTTTGACTCATGTCTCCTTATGGAGGAGTCATCAGAGCTCAGGCCACCCTGGGGAATCGGTAGATGTGTAATATTGGGGATCTGCCAAACCCTGCCCTTCCTAAGCACCCACTCTGCTAACACAGGAGACCCTCCTTCTGCTCCCACAGAACACTCACTTTAATAATTGCTCCTGCGGTGTGTCACCCCAATCGTTATGCAGAGGTATCCCTCCAGAGGCAGAGAAGACCTTGATGGCATCTGATCCGAGGGATGGTGCACAGGACCTGTGAATGATGGACAGTGTGACTTTCTGACTTAGTGACTAGAAGAGAGGCCAGAGACTGTGTCTGCTTCATTCCATGAATCAGGCTAAGTGTCTCCGAAAGTGCCTGCCTGTGGTAGGAGCTTAGCGCAATTGAATAAAATGAGCTCCAACCAGAACCATCTGAGCCATCTGAGTGGGCCTGGATCCCTTCTATCCCCTGCTATATCTCATGTGGCTACACCAAGGACCAGGACAAGATCAGCTGGTGAAATCTCAAATTTCTTGACAGGTTTTCTCCCACTGCTTTTCCAAACTCAAATGCCACAGGTTGCTGATGGGGGTTCATTGCATTTTCCATGGGACAGACAGACATAAGTGGAATGAAAACCACAGCTTATCCAGCAGCCCTTTCTGCTGAGCCAAGCAGCAGGTAAGCGCTGCCATGGCTTGTCCCTACATCAGTGCCTACAAGAGCCCTATAATGTTGATCCTGTACCACCCCACTTTCCAGTGGAGCATTCTGAGGCTCAGAGTGATGAGATGACATTGCCAAGAAACACAGATAGCAATGGGCAGAGACCCCACTGCAGTGGAGAGGGGACACGTGCTCACCTTGTTAACAGCTCTTCGAGGAACCACTGGGCCCTGGAGAAGGCCGGGTGGATGGGCATCAGGGTGCAGACGTGGGGGATATTTCCAGCCAGGAAAGCTGGGACCAGGGACCCCACAACCTTCTCCAGGGTGCCTTTCTGTAGGGCCCGCATCTTGCAGGCCTCACGAAGTCTCTGAGTTAACTCAGCGGCACACTGTGTGGGACAAGGTGGGACATCCAGTCAGTGGCATCTCCAAGAATCCCAGGAGGTGGAGGTCTAGAGCTCACACAGGAGTCCCAGACTCTCAGGAATGAGGTTCTAGGTTTTTAATGTTCCACTGAAGTTCATGAGTGGGGCATGTTGGTGTAATTGCTACTTTCTGGGCAGGTTTGTATGCTTGTTTGGTTTAGCTTAGGAACAATAAACCTAAAATAGTTTCTATGATGATCATTGTCCCCATGAGGCTTCAAGAACCATCCCCATTATAGAGATGAGATCACAGAGCTTAGTGCTGTCACTTGTCTTCTCAAGTGCATGCAGGTCAGAAACGCAAACTGTCCTGCATGACATTTTCTCTCAGCTACATGAGACTTATCTGCCCCCGACATGGATGCAAAGGTGGTAGGAACCTTGCCCATCCCCTATGTGGGGAAGGTATCCATCAGAGACATGGCCTATGAAAACATTGACTTTAAAAAAAAAAAAAAAAAAAAAAAAAAAAAAAAAAAAAAAGACACTTTTGTTTCATTCGTTTACATCAAAGGGCATTTTTAGACCCTCATTGTGGAGAACCCAGATTCTGCAAAGGGGCAAATGCCTTTAGTCTCCAGACTGGAGGAGTGTGATCGTTAGGCATGAATCTGAATAGAGGACTCCAGAGGGAACAAATCCATGTGGTGGGTGTAAAGTGACAGGTGACCCAGTATCCCTGTGAGGCAATTGCCAGTGATGGAACACTGTGATTGCCTTGACCAACCTGACTGGTGAAAATTTCAATGAGTGTGAAATCCCCGGGCTAGGCAGGGAGTAATGCATCAGCCATGATCAGAAACTGCTGTTGGCACCATGACTGCTAAAGCCCTTTGGGTTTGGAATCTCCCTGCAGCCATTAACTTTTCATGTGCACTTCCTTACACCAGCAATGGGCATCCATCTTCAGAGGCAGGGAGGTGTTGCATATTGTGATCTTAATAGTAATCCCCTAGTTCCCTGATTTTGGGACCCCAGAACTTCAGAATGTGTCTGCATTTGAGTTTTAGTCTTTTAGCAAGTAATGAGGTGAATTGAATTCAGTGGTGTGGGTCTTAATCTGATCTGACTAGTGTCCTTAGAAGAGGAGGGGAAAGAAGACGGCCATCTACAAGCTGAGGAGGGACCCTTCAAGAGACACCAGCCCTGCTGACAGCCTCCTGTCTCACTCCTAGCCTCCAGAATTGTGGGGAAATGAATGACTGCTGCTGACACCACCCAGTGCCACCCTATGTGTGGTAGCCTGAGCAACCTAACATAGTCCATTCCCATGCACTTTAGTGATCCAGGCAGGATTGCTGACATGGCAGCTAACCTGAATCATGCCCATGAATAACAGTACTGAAAGGCTGCAGTGCTTGGCAAATGACCACCATTATTGGACCAGGTCTGCAAGGACAGTGGAACTGACCGCTCCACAGGATCCTGGCAATGGTAGTTTAAACAACAAAACCAATGGGCAAATGTGCTCCTGGGCTACTATGAAGTCAAACAAAATTATTTCACTCTAATATTTCCATGAATATGTGAGGAGAGTGTTTCTACTCTGCCATGAAACAGGAGGGAGAGGTGGAAGTCTGGAGTTCCCTGTCATGAGGCTGAAGCACACTCTGGGGAGAGCCCTGTGAGGGCCTCTGGGTGCTCCCAGATTTGAGTCTGGGCTCTGGGCACTGTCAGGTGACCAGGTTTTCTGGGTATAGAGACCCTCAAGGCCAGTTCTCACCTGAGTCCAGCCCTGGATGGTGTCTGTGGCCTGATGCACCTTCCTCAGGTTGAGGGAGTTTGAGTAGTTGAACCTGCTGACCAGCCCTTCAGTGATGACACGGTTGGAGCTCTACAAAGACAGAGCCCGGTACCGGGCCAGTAGGCTTCAGGAACCTTCGACCTCAATCTGTGGTTCTACACCACGGCAGTCTTGGCAAACTGAGACTGTCTATTAGGACATAATGAGGAAGCTCTGGCAGCCCTGCTGAACGGGCAGCAGAGGTGGATCATGTATGGTCAGCAACCCTGAAAGCTGCATCCCTGAGGAAGACTGCATCCTTTATGGGATGATATGGAAGTGAGTTGGCCGCAGCTCCTGACCCAGCAGGCCTAAGGTACTGTGCCCTGCTCTGTGAGATGACAAATTGCAGAGAAAAGCATCCAATACTTTGCTTCCTCCCATCTTTTTTGCAAGACAACCCAGTCAAGTGTGATGATGACTGAAGCTTAGAGAAGGTCTGTAAGGACAACGGAGCTGACTGCTCCACAGGTTACCTGGGGCAGGTAGTTAAAACACAGAATAGCAAAATACAAAATGTGCTGGAAGTCTCCAATGAAGTAAAACAATATAATTGTTTCTTTAAAATTCCCATGAACATGTGAGGGGTGTCTTCCTATTCTCTCATGGAACTGGTGGGGGGAGTGGAGTTCCAGATTGGTTTGTCATGGGACTGTGGACACGCTAGTGGGAAAGCCCTGAGAGGGCCCTGGGGAGTTTGCAGATTGAAGTCTGGATTCTCCACCCTCCCTGGTCATCTTCAGGCCCTGGATGTGGAGATCACCCTGGGCCAGCTCTCACCTCAGACAGACACTGGACGGTGTCATCAGCCTGGTTCACCTGCACCCTGACCTGGTAGGTGCTGTAGTCAGGCCCATGGGCCACTACCTTGAAGATGTCCTCCTTAGAGGTCTGCAAAGACAGAAAAGGTACTGAACCAGGGGGCGTCAGGAGCCTTCCACCACATCCGTGGTCCTGTGTAATGGCAGACCTGGCACACTCATACAGTCTATTAGCACCCAGTGGGGATGTTCCCAGCAGCCCTGCTGAACCAGCAAGAACTGATTCACAACAAGGTCTAACAACAGTGAAAGCCTGAATCACTGAGGAAAACAACATCCTCGATGGGATGATATGGAGGTGGGTAAGGCCACAGCTCCTGACCGGGCCGCTCTTCAATGGTTGGCCATGCTTTGTGTAATGTTAGATTACAGAGAAAATATCCAATACGTTCTTCCCACTTTTTTAAATACACAGCACTATCAAGTGGGATGATGCATACGGTTTGGAGAAGTCTACAAGGCCAGTTGAGCTGGGATTGGTCCACAGGATACTTGGGGCAGGGAATTAAACATTTGAAATTACAAAAACACAAAGACAACAAAAAAAAATTTTTCTGTGACCCCAACAAATACATGAAGACTGTTTTTTCTATCCTATCAGAGACCTGGTCTCAAGGGTTGGAGGAACTTTTCCTTTGGGAGTGGTTCTGTGAGAACTTTGATGCCCGAGATTGGAGTCTGAGTTTTGGCCCCACCCCAGTCACCTCAGGGTCATGGTGTGGGCTACCTCTCACCTCAGACTTGCACTGGATGGTTCTCTTGGCCTGGACCACTTTTCCTTTATACCCATTGCTGCCATCAGTGAACCTGTTAGCTTGCTCCTCTAGGATGTCATTGGAGCTCTGCAAAGACACACCCGGTCCCCAGCCAGGAGGCATTAAAGGCCTGGCATTACCAGTAGGGGAGATGCCAACCTCCAGTCCCGCTCCCCAGACCAGACAGAGAGGGGCATCTGCAATGACCTCCATGCAGGGAAGGTTTGAGATGATCCCATGAGGACCCCCAATTAACAAGTGGCTAATAGAGTCCATCCCCAACACTCAGCTACCCTCTCTGTGAGCCTCGATCAGGGCAATGAATATGACACACCCTCCAGGCTTCTGACACCTACCTACCTGCTCCTGCCCAGGATGTGTGTCCCTCACTTCACGTTGTCCCGCACCACCCTCAACAAACACATACCTGGGATGAGGAGTCAGAAGGTTGGGCCTTCACAACTGGGGGCCACGGTCTGGTCTGACTAGGAAAAGTCTTCCCTGGGATGCCCACAGTTACCCGATGGGTCCTCCTGCCAGGGGCCGAAGGATGTTGGTGGCGGCACTTGTACCAGTTTCTACAGCAACAGCAACCTCTCTCTCTCTGGGCTTTCTTCTGCCCATGTCCTCGGATTGACGGAAAGCAACAAAGAGCCATCCTATTCTCCTGACGCTTTCCACTCAAGTGAGCTGGAAAGGCAGTTGCCTCTAGAATGTGGGGGCATGGTTACCACGGTTCTACTTTCCGGTTGGGGATTGGTCACCAACGAAGTGAGGTCACCACTTCAAGGTTCCAAGACCTGGGCACTTCCCCCAATCAAAGCTACCTTAGCCCTCTCTGGGCTGTTGACCTCTCACCCTCTTTGCCCACATCACCTCCTCCCTGTACACCAATACCCAATATAACCCTTGCCCCAGCTCCCTGGAAATGTACCAGGTCCCCTACTAGGGGGAGAAAGCTGCCTCCACATCTCCTTTATAAATTAGTTCTGTGTCCAGGGAAGGCCTCTCAGGACCATCCCAGTCTCCCAACCTGTCCAATGAAGATGATCCTAGACACCATTCCTATCCAAAGTCATCAGCTATAGATAAGGCTCCTAACACAGTGGGCTGGTGCCCTTTGTATCTGATGAGTGGGACACAGCATGAAACACTAGACAAAACAGCCCTGGGGTCCAAAGTGTGATATCATGGAAGTCACTGCTCATATGGCCTCATTTTCAAGTCTGCACCTTGAAGGGTTTGAAATGACAGGAAATTCAGATATTGTCACTCACTGGCCTAAAAACATGCAGTGGTCTCTTGTTAATCTTAGACTCAGTCCCAGTGCCTCATGTGGGTCCATGTGATGGGAGCTTTCAGAGTGGCTTTGAGTGAGTCCTGCCTCCTGGTGGGAACAGCCTTGTGTGTCTGCTGAGTGCTCAGTAAATGGCTTCTGAATAATGTCAAGTAGAGCTCATGTGATGGGATGTCAGATCCCGTCATTCTCTCAAAGTCCATTGTTTTGTTTTGTCTTTTTATTTATTTTATTTTTTTTGGCTGGGGAGGGTGGGGTTGGTGGTG